ACTTCATCACCACCTTTCTATTATGGTTTTGGAAATTCATTTTTGTCCCCTTATGCTTTTAACCCTCAGTGGTTTAATACAGCAACATCTACCACCACAAGTTATCAAATCCCAAAGTGAGTTTATTTTGTTTTTCAATTAATCTAATTTAGTGTTAGTGTCTATCTTTATTGTTTTTGTTATTCTTTTCTTAGATATGGCTGGAAAAATATATGTTTTGCTCTCTCGTGTTTTTTTTGGCATAGCTTTTTTTTTTATCGATTTTGACGGGGTTCGATTTAATCACCCTTTAGTTTTTTTTGGTTATATTGTTAGCATTGGCCTGTGCCAACAGCTGGATTGCCCATTTTATCTTTTATCTATGTATCCACTAATTATTTTGCATGAAATTTCTACGATCCTTTGCAGTTTGTTTTATTAATCTTTGAATGTATAGTTTAATAGACCAGTGATTTTTATCATTTAAAACTTTTGAGACTGGGATAGTATTAATATCTCCAAAGCAGCTTAAATAAAGCTTGTGATGGATTGAAACTAGTAAATTTTAAGCTTTCGAGAATTAGGAAGCCGAAGTCAAATACCGAAAGCCAAGCCAAGCAACAGTTTTTGCTTCAGAGCGGGATTTTGTTGAGCTTTTTAATTTCAAATTTTAGATTTTAGATTTTAGATTTTAGATTTTAGATTTTAGATTTTAGATTTTAGATTTTAGATTTTAGATTTTAGATTTTAGATTTGCTTTGTTAGTACGATGCAGTAATTATCCATTAATTCTCAGAAATAAGTTGTATTTATTGTTTCAACGCTTTGAAGAGCATCTGAGTCTTTTTCCTCATCGTTTTTCAACATTGCAGATGCTTATTTTCAGTTGAGTTTGAGTAAGAAATTTTAATTTGTTATGGAGACTTGAAAACAGCTTTATTTCATTGCTCTAGCATGGTCAATATGCAGTACATCTTTTATTGCAACCACAAATTTACAGAGGTAATTAATAGAGCTGAATGGAGTTGGAGGAAGAACAAAATCACGTGTCTTTTGTTTGTTCTAACAACCAGCTTTTTCTTATTTTGTTTTTGTGCTCCTCTCATTTGTTTAAATCCCAAACAAGACACAAATATAATGACTAGACCTATATATTTTGCCAAATCTGCTAGTATAATCCACAAAATAGCAACTGGTTCTCGATTAAAATGTTTTAATGTATTTGCTAACTGTAAAAGTTACAGTACAACCTCTAATGTTAAGATTGTTGATGATGAGGACGAGAATAGTAATTCAAACATAAAACATTTACGAAATTTGCCCAAGAATACAGGTTCTGGTTTATTCATTGAGTTACCGACTTTCAAACTATTAAATAAATCGTCTTCAAATTATTTGGTGAATTTGCCAAAGAATTCAAAATTAGATTTAAAATTAAACTCTATCATTTCCATCTACTATCAAAACGATCAAAATTATTTAAATAAAGATAATAATCTTGATTTAAACTTATCTTTAATTAAAAAAGATCCAAATAGTAACATTGAATCTAATTTAGTGACTAATTTACCCGTATCTTTACTATTTAATAATGTCTTGGACAATTTGAATTTAATTGAAATAAACAGTTCCAAGAAAAAATTCAATAATTTAATTGTCTTGAATAAAAGCAATTTAATATCGTATACTTCAAGTTTATTCTTAGATTGTCAAAACAGTTTTTTAAAGATTAATGGATCTGGAAAAATGTTAATCAAGTATGATTCGATAATACAATTATTTGAAAATGATTCAATATTAATTTCGAAAAACTCATTAATAGGTTTGAGTAACATCAATTCAATAAAAGATTCTTTAAATTTATCAAAGTTAAACACTACTTTTAAATTAATTGATTCTTTAAACTTTGGTTTCAAATCTTATTTAAATTATTTAATTGATATCCAGTCAAAATTGAACCTTTCTATTTTTGACAACTTATTAGCCTTATTTAAGAAAAAAAAAACTGCAAAAGAGGAGTACCAACTCGAGAAATTGACAATAGATAATATTGACACTAATAATATTTCTAGTAATAATATTAATAACAAGAAACTAAAATTTAGTGAAAGTAGGCTTTTGGCAATACTCGGGACATTATTAAACAAAGTCAAGTCAAAAAAAGGTCAAGATAAAGAATTTTATCTTATTCAAGGTCCTGTTGTTTTGTTGATTGACGAGAATTTCAGCTCAGTCATCAAATGATATATGTATTCTTCTATTATTGATGCTGTGGAAACACTAAATTCTAAATTCGAGGATGATTTCAGTCGGTTATTGTAAAATCGGTTAGTTAATTTCAAATCGTTTGTTAGTCTATATAATTTTTCTCAATCAAATATTTTTGTTTACTGTTTTTACTCTGTGAATCTTAATAGATCTGTTTTTATACTCCCTAACCAAACTTTTTCTGTTGCCCGAGCAACTCTTTATTGTATCTCTTTGAAACCAACCACAGTCCAGCTCAAAAGACAGTATTTCATCAATCAATTTGGAATGCAAACATTTATCTGTGAGCAAATGAGCGGTGGGCAAGTTCGAGAGAAAAATCTGAGAATCGAACTTGGTGAGTTCTAACAGAAAGCTACTGTGGAACAAATCACATCAATCCACTATATCTGCTGCTGTTCAGAAACAAAAGAAGTTGTCTGCTCACACCTGCAATATGTCTGAGTTGGTCCATGCTCTTTCTGGTGCTTCTGGTGCCACTGTTTCTCTCTTGTTAACCTATCCATTAACCACCATTGCTACAAAGTCTCAGGTCAAAAGTGATTTGTCTTCACCAACACAAAAAAGAATTGTTAAAATAATCAGATCAATAATTATTAGAGATGGGTATAAAGGGTTTTTCAATGGGCTTGAGTCTGCTATTTATGGTGTGGCATTGACTAATTTCATTTATTATTTGTTTTATGAGTATATTAGCCGATTTTTATTAAATAATAGAGAGGTTTTCAAATCTCCATTTAAATTGACCAAACTACTTAAATTATCATTTAAAAACAAAAATGTTTTATCTACTATGGTTGGATTAACTACAGTTGAGTCTATATTGAGTGGATTAATATCTGGATGTATTAATGTAGTCTTGACTAATCCAATTTGGGTTGTTAATACTAGAATGACAGTCTCTAAATCTAATAAATCATTTTTACACCATTTGGTTAGTATCATTAAAAAGGAACGAATTTCCAATTTATTTAATGGTTTGATGCCTTCATTAATATTGGTTTTAAATCCAATTATCCAATATACTATATACGAACAGTTTAAGAATTTTTTAATTAAAGTTAGATCGAATAAGAATAAAAAAGCCAATCAATTTAGCTCATTAGATGCATTTTTTATTGGGGCGATAGGTAAACTAGTTGCTACCACATTGACATATCCATATATAACTTTAAAGACAAGAAGTCATTTAAATGATGAAAAATTGGGTGAAAATGATGAAAATGAAGGTAATAATAACAATAATAACAATAATGATAATAAAAAGAAGAATAAGAATATGATTGAGATGATTAAAGAAATTTATGAAAAAGAAGGAATATTATCATTTTATAATGGAATTTCAGTTAAATTATTTCAATCGATTTTAAATGCAGCATTTTTGTTTTATTTCAAACAAGAATTTGTTAATTTGTCAATATTTATGATTAGTATTGTTAAGAAGTATCAGAAAAAAAGGTCAAAAAGATAATAACAATTGAATAATAATTAAATAATTAAATAATTAAATAATTACTTATAATAAAATTTTAATTTATCATAAGTTAGAAAAATGACACCATTAGCTGGAATACATCTAATTAGAGTTATTCCTAAACCTGTGTAGAAGCCTTTAATTCCATTTTTAAGATAAATGAGTTTAGCTATTTCCAAGAAATCAATTTTTATATTTTGATCAACAAGGCTCGGATTAACGATTGAAGTAGTTTGTAGTTTTGATTTGACAGTGTCAATTGGGAAAGTTATTGCGTTATAGCCAACTCCGGCAGCTGCTCCACTGATAAATTCGTTAACTGAATTGTTGTTGGGATTCAGTCTTTTTAAATTCCGATTTGAAACTTCATATGTGCCAAACCATATTGAGCTTCCAATAAATTCTCTTATCAATGTGACCAATTGGCCATGCCATAGACCCTTTATCCCTTGATTCAAGATAATGATTTTGATCAATTCAATTATAGATGGATTTTTCAGAGGCTTTGAAGAACTGAGCTTGGTTTGATATAACAATTTGACCTGCATTTGACATTTAATTAGCTCAACAGGGGTTAGCAAAAAAGAAGCTGATATTCCACTAAAACCACCAGAAATAACGAGCTGCCAGATGTTTAGGGTTGCATCAGGGGAATTGTAATATTTTTTGAAGAGGGATTGACAGTATTCGTAAGAGAAAAAAAGAATGGCATTTTCAAAAGCTGCACCAACCAAGGGAGAGCTAAGACCACTGTAAAAACCTCTTAATTTTTCAGTTTTGAAAGTGTACTGGATGCAATGAAAAGTGGATCTAAAAAGCTGGTCGCTGGTGCCAGCCTGAGATTGAAGGCGAACCTTGACAGTGTCAAATGGATACTCAATGATCTTGCCCAACGAGCCAGCAATGGAGCCAAACAAAATGGTTTTCAGTGCCTCTTCCATCCTCAGCCCCAGCTCCAGCTCCAACTCTTCTCCAGGTTGTTCTTTGGCTCAAAACCGCACTGGGCTTCTAGACCTGGCCCGTGATAGGGCTTTAACAATCAGGGCTCTGTTTCTCGTTTAGATTTCGTTTAGCACGGACATCCAACGCCAGTGACCTGGGCACCCTTTCTTATCTTATCTTATCAGACCACAGAAACAGCTCGAAAGAGCCCAAAGAAATCGCACATATACTCAGATCAACGCTCTCTTCCACCCCAAACTTCTTTAGTAACAGCTCTTTCCACAATGCTCGACGTTCTTCAACTTCCTCCTCACTTGGTCCACCAAATGTGGTCTTATTTACCTCTCACCCACCATCTCTTGTTCTGTGCCTCTGGTTCCCATATCATTCGTGGTTCCTCGACTGCATTCCTCTTTCATTCAATTCATATCTCCAACACCCACTTGAACCACAGTTCCCATGTGTTATCTCTCGCTCTTGCTGATCTACCCATCTTCCAATCAACAATCTTCAAGTTAAACAGATCTCTCTTCATATCGGTTAATATAGATCTAAATGACCTTAACAATTTATCCTCCATAAACACTTATTTGATCAGCCTACTCAATAAATTAATCTATTTCAACAATTTATCAAATTTGTCCTTTAAAATCATTTCAAAACCAAACAAAATCTTTCCAAATACCAATAACATTACCAGCAATACTGACCTTGAAAACTTTAATAGATTTGTAAACTATTTAAATTGTATCCTTGATTTGTTACTATTATTCAACAAAAATTCTCTCAGATCTTTGTGCTATTTGAATCATTTAAGCAAGATTAATCTATATTATATTAATTATAACCATTTTTACTATAACTATCATATTGAGTCTAACTTATTCAACAACCATATTAACAGCCTTACAAATCTTACTTTCAAATCTCCTTTATTATTAAATGCAGACTTGACTGATAATAAATTTATCAATAAATTTGGCATCGCTTCTATAATTAATCAAAATTCAAATTTGACGTACTTGAACCTATCCTATAATAATTTATCTTTTCTCAATTTGTCGAAATTCCCGCCTTTACCCAATCTTTCGCATCTAAATTTATCAAATAACAATATAAATATCATATCTATGTCTCTATCTCTACAGATGCCGATATCTATTCAAAACCCTGTGCCATCGTTGAAATATCTTTATATGAATAATAATAAAATTGTTAATATCTCCTTTTTATATAATCTCAACTTATCAAATCTCTTTATTTTAAATGTCGCTGATAATTTAATCGCCGATAATGATATTAAAAATCTATCATCGTATTTAGATCAAATTAATAATTCACATATTCTAGTTGCTTCTAAAAGTCAAAATACTGTTAATGCAAATAATCTTATCAATAACCACATACTATTACTCTTTTCGTTGATTCTCTTATTATACCTATGCTTATAAATTTCTGTTCATATTCATATTAATTTTCGCCTTCTTCATCACTGTCTTCAATAACTCGCCTACCTCTTCTTTTAACTTTCTTATTTGAATCTTCTTCAAAACTTTCATTAATCATTACCTCTTTAATTGCTCCGGTTTTTATATTTTGTTCGATTTTCTTTATTTTCTTTATTTTCTTTACTTATTTCTTTAATTTCTTTCTCTTTCTCTTCTTCTGGTTCAATAAATGTTTCTGCTTCTCCTGATTTTTCTTTGTTTATTGTATTAGCAAATAAAATACCATTTTGTCTTCTTATTTCTCTTTCCATTGCAAAAAATTCTTCCTCTTTATCTAAATCCCCGTCTGAATCTTCAATAAATTCTAATGATTTAAAATGACTTTTAATATCTTTTTTATTATCTTTTATTATCTTTTTTCTCTTTCTTCTTGCTATATTATTATTTTTTTCATTATTCATCTTTCTTCTCTTTTTATCACTTCTATTCATTCTTTCTAATGCCTCATAATCAGAATCCCCTTCTTCACTTTTATCACTAACAATAAAATCTTTATCGGCAGAATATTGATCATAAAGTTCTTTATCAATTTCAGAATTGTCATTTTTATTGTATCGATTTATTTTCTTGAAAATGGCTTTTAAATCAATTTTCTCTTCATTTGCGTATTCTTCATTGTAATATTTCTTCACTAAGTAATAACTTTCCTTAAAAATCATTTTATCAACTATTAATTCAAAATATTTTTTATTTTGTTCACCATCATCATCATTATTAAAGCCTAAAATCTTTTTATCATTAATTCGAATCCCAATGATTTCAATTAATAGTCTTAAATAGGCATTTTTAATCAAATTTTTTGTAATAGTATTACTCTCTTCCACAATTGGAAACTCTTTTTCAAATTTATCATCATTTATAACGTCCAACTGTCTAATCAACCAAACAGTTACTCCATCACTTTTCAACCTTTCCCTTTCTTTTAAAAGCTTTATTAATATTTCAAGTTTGTTATCTTTAGTCATTTTGCTATCAATAAATTCAATCGGTTTCACAATTTTTTTCGAAAAAACATCCCTGTTTGTATTGCTTATTTTTACTAATGATTCAGGATAATAAATACTTGAAACTTTATTAATATTCGAAAATAATAATTCAACATAAAGCGAGGGACTTTGTTTTAAATTTTTAATCAATTCTTTCATATAATACTGGAAAAATAACTTGAATTTATTTTTAACTTCAATCTGTACATTTAACTCATTTATTTGATTAAAAAACTCATAGAATTCATGTATTAAATCTAAGCGAAATAGTAGTCTTTTATAATACAATTCATTATTACTGATCTTAAAAAATATTATTGAAAAAAATTTCTCAATTATAATCAATTGCTCACTGTTTAAGATTTCAAACCTTGAAAAGTATTTGATAAATAATCCCACAATTTTTTCATTTATAATTTTGTTAATAAAGTCGTTAAAATCTAATGAATATACCGTAAAATTCTGCTTTTTGTCACTATTATTAATCTCTTCATTATCAAACTCATCATCATCAATGATTTTCGATCTCTTTTTTTTAAGTTTTTTTAAATAAATTGGGTTTTTTTCAAATAATAATAACAAATTAACAATGATTTGACATGTTATTGATATAAAAGAAAAAGACTTTGTACTAGCGATTTTTAAAACCTCATAAAATTTTTCATGAAATTGACAATTATCAATGATTTTTGTGAAATAAAAGAACGATCTTTCATTTTTATTAGAATCGGTAGTTTTATTGAGTAAATCCATTTTTTGAATCAAAACTAATATCCCATTGAATGTTATTAATGATGAATAAATTGAATTTATATTTCTTTTATCAATATTAGATTGAAGAATATTTATTAGTGTTTTAAGATTTTGATCACTTAAATAATTTGCAATATATCCAAATTGATTAGCTTCTAAATCAACATCCTCATTATTGTCATCATTGTGATTGTTATTATTTTTATCAAGCCATTGTCTGTGGGTTTCAAATTCTAAAAACCACGAGCATGTTAAATTATACTGTATTTTAATAAAATTGAGTGCTGGATCATTATTATTATTATAAGAATTTGTTGAAGTGATTTCCTGAATGTAAGGTAAGACTGATGAAATAAAGCTATTTAGTGAATTTTCAACAAAGCTTGAGACAAAATTCTTGAAAACGGCTTTTCCCTTTTTTGTCAAGTTATTCGATATATTATTGCCCTTATTATTTAGCATCTCATTAAAATTTTCCTGATTATTATTAATGATTGAGCCATCATTTGAATTGTCGTTTTCATTTTTATTGATAGAATTTTTCAAGTAGTTATTTTTTGAAGTTTTCTTGCTTAAACTAAAGGAATCGAGTAAATTTTTATTCCTCAACAAAAAACTTTGCCCAAATACAGTTAAGTTAGAGTTATTGGATCTAATTTGTAATTGAGAGCCAAATTTTGAATGTCTTGAAGAAGAATTTTTCTTAATATTATTAACTAAAAAATTTTCTCTATTTAATAAACCAAGCAAATTAGTATTAATATTTATATCACCATGATTAGCTTCGCTATTATCAATTGAATTATTATTGTTGTTATTATCATTATTATTATTAAAATCAAACAAATATTTGGGATCAATATCTTTTGTTAAATAATAAATAATTTCTAAGGAATTTAGTATGATATTTTTATTTGCAAGATCAAATTTCAAAGAGTTGAAAATTAATAACAAAAAATCGAAAATTTTATTTTGATGAAATGTTAGAATCAAGTGATTTAGGGAAATATCATTATTGTTATCGGTATCAAGCTTATTGTTATTTAACTTATTACTAATTGAGATTGGATTAATAATTAGCAAATTTCGAATTAGTAAAATTGACAAATTCAATACTTGGTAATCTTTTAAAGATCTTTTGTATTTTTGAGTTGAGATTATGGGTAATGAAATTTTCAAAATGGATTTAAGAATGGAGTTACTTTGATCAGCAGTATTATTGTTAAATTGGTTTCCATTTTGATGTTCATTGATTTTGTCGTTGAAAGATAAGATTAAGCTTTTATAGGACACTAATATCCTTTTTAGAGTGAAATAGTTTTTCACATTATTTATACTAGCTAAATTTATTGGCCAGGTTAAATTTACTAGAATTTCCAAAGATATTATAGCGATTTTATCATTAATCTTTTGGCCTATTTTATGAGAATCTGGGTCATTAAGCTGATTATTAAATTGGTTCAAAATATTTAATATTCCATTTTGAACTAAACCATGATTGTGACAAGAAATTGGAACAATGGAATCATTTGAATAATCATTGTCGAATCTTATCCACTTTTTAATGTCCTTTAGAACAATGAAACAATTGGAACCGATTTTGTAGTATTGGTTAATATGATTATCGTATTGAGTAACTTGAGCATCCTGATTTGCTAAATAGTAATCAAATCCTCCTAGAGCATTGATTAAATTTAGTATATGAATATCAATAATTTTGAATCGTTGATCATAAGATAACTGATTTTTTGAAGATTTTTCATTATTGGCGTTGCTATGCTCATAACCCTCATCATATTCAATAAAATCACCACGATCTTCTAGGTCAGAAACATTTTGATATCCGAAATCATCGTCCATCATGTTAATCACTCCAATTGATATGGAATTGAAACTGATGTTGTGTTTTCAAATTGCAGATGAGATTAATTTTCGTGAGCGACACGAAAATGACGGCAAACTAACAACTCGCGCAAACTATTAAAGCGCGTAAGCTGTTATTATGCCAAATGCTCACGTGCTACTAAGCTATAAATAGACTGATTTTTATTGTTAAGGTGTCATAGATTAGTCCATTTGTAGAGCACCATACCGATGGTTTCCTAGCACTCAAATGTGCATCATGCAAGTATACGTGCAATAGCGCAGACACAAAGTCTAACTAAGCACAGGTTATGAGCACCGTCCTTTCTTTCAGCAATTGCATTATTGCTTTATTTTTAGCTCCTTCAAATTCTTCAACTTCACCAAACATCAGAAAGGGTCAAAACATCCAAAAGAAAGCCCATGTTTGAAAGTTTCAATTCCTGGAAATCTACAATATCACACATCGCAGTTTTTTTCCAGCGTTCCAAATTTTGCTTTTTTTGTAGTTTTCGTTATTTTGATCGTAAATATTATAATTACCATAATAATCACCATTATTATTATTATAGCCATTGCTATCATAGTTATTCTTATTATAGTTACTATTGTCTGGGATATCGATTTTCAATGCAAGCTGAATAGCATTTTTGAATACCCTCTGAACCCCTTCACCAGTTTTTGCTGAACACTCAGAAAACCCATCAGTTCTGATTCTTTTTGCTAAAGCTTTTCCTTGCGCAGTTGAAATTATGTTGGAAAACCTGGTACTTTTTAAATCAATTTTGCATCCAACTAATAGGATTGGAACATTTTGGACATTCATTCTAATTTCATCAATCCAATGTTCCATAACATTTTTAAAGGAAACTGGATCGTCAACTGAATAACACAATAAGATAACATCACTATCTGGGTATGCTAGATGTCTCAACCGATCAAAACCCTCCTGCCCTGCTGTATCCCACAAATTTAAGATGGCTTCATATGTTCTATTATTTCTTTCAACTGTCACCGGCACTGATGTTTCTTCAAAAGCTGTTGGTTCATAACTTGTCAAAAATTGGTTATAAACAAAAGTACCCAAAAGACTTGTTTTCCCACAACTACCATCCCCAACAATTAGTAATTTTTTTTCAATCTGGGTTTCAGACATTGTTGATACCAATACAAAAATAGTTTAGAAATAAAAATATCAATTACTCTAAATATATCGGATAATTTTCCATCTATATGTGTTGAAGATACCTATGATAAGCTAAAGTCTTTATAGTCCTTTAAATTGTCCTTTTTTGCTAAGTCGTGCTACATCTTTTTGGATTCTCACAAAAAAAACAACCCCTTATCGGTGGTCTCAGCTTTCTTGATGCCGGAATCTCTACCCAATTTTTGTTTAAGCATAGTAACTCTAATAAATCTCAATTGATGGACTAAACATTAGCTTTGTGGTTTTCATTTTATGGGAGATCCTCCTTGCTTATGTTTTTTTTTGATTGATTCTTGATCAATCAATCAAATTGGAAGATTAAAAATTCTGTTTTAAATTTGAACAAGATATCTATTTAAAGTTCTAACTACAGAATTCTAACTACAAATTAAATAAGATTAATTAATAAATAAAGGAACGCAAAAACCCTCCATATATATTTAGGATAAATAAAAATTCAGTTAAAAAAATATCGAAAAGGTAGAAAAAAATGAGCAAATCATAATATTATTGGGAACATCAAAAGATCTACTCTTAATATTGATGAGTGGTCCCTAAAACTTTAGGTTTCAAAGGCTGTCAGTATTGAAGAACTTGAAGAAGTAGTTATTATAGTTGATGAAAAGCTAGAATATGTTATTGAACTGAAAGAGGAACCGGTAAATGAACTAGAAGAGGAGATGAAAGGTGAACCAAAAGATGTGATTGAACTGAAGGATGAAGTAGATGAACTGAAACTGGAAGAGGATCGGGAAGATGGACTGGATGATGAACTGACGGAACTACTAGAAATGATTGGCAAATAACTTGAGGATAACTTAGATAATGAAATAAAAGAACTTGATGATATAATAATTAAATTATCTTCAGTACTCAGTGAGGAGCTGGATATGAAGTTAGAAAATGAGCTAGGTAAAGTTTTGGAGTTTCTACTAGATAATGAACTTGATAATGAACTTGATAATGAACTTGATAATGAACTTGATAATGAACTTGATAATGAACTTGATAATGAACTTAGTGAATAAAATGCACCTTCTAAAATAGAGGATGTGGTTGGTACAACATTTATAAAAGATACCAAAGAAGGGGATAGAGGAGGAATAATGGATGAAAAAATTGATGAGGATTTTCCATTCAAAGGCATCGAAGTCGTTTTTGAAGCGAGCAACTGAGAAACAACCAGGGTACTTTTTGAGGAAACATTTGATGATTCCAAAACTAATTGCGGTGTTTGATCAGTGATTTCTTGAATATAAGTGTTCTCAGAAGATTCAAATCGTGAATCAATTGGAGTTTCAGTAACAATGCTTGCATCAATGTTTGTTTTTGTAGTTGTTTCTGGTTTGGAGTTGTCAAACACATTGATCACAGAACCAGCACACATCGACAATTCCCAGTCATCATAATTATTTTCGTCACCAAATGGTCGCAATGAACGAATTAAAATCTTGTACTTTCCTTTTGGAAATGGTTGCCCATCACCAAGACCACTAACTTCACCATATACAAAGTCGTTGAATCTGCTAGGACTGTTCTGCGATAAAACNGAAAACTGATCGTTTCCATTCCATAGTTCGATGGGCCCTACCCACTTGGCATTGTTTTCTGGTGGATAGCTGAAATCTGAAAGCTCGTAATCATACGTCACTAAGTCAAATGCAAATGTTGGAGAGCCAAATCCAATTCTGTAGTATATCGAGAATGTGTCGTAGCTTTGCACATCGTAAATACGACTGGTATCAGCCAAATCAACAAGTTCCCCATTTTCATTAGCAATGCAATATGCTTCCACACCCAACCAGTCCCTGGTAGACAACTCAACCCCCATATAGGGCACTTTCAAAATCTCGCCATTGGAGCCAGTGACTACAATCTTTCCTGAGAACAAATACCCATCTGTGATGTTTGACACTGGAGCTGTGATGTCGACTGTCACATTCGCTGACTCGCCGGGCTGCAAAGTGAACGAGCTCAATGAGTACTTGATGTGGGCCTCGCTGGTGTCGTACTCTGGATAGTACACCTGTGGAAACCCATCCTCCTTGTTTCTGGCCTTGATTGTAGCAGCGCCTTCGTGTGACAAAACATACATCACGTCTTCGCATCCACCATTGTACACTGTCACCAAGTGCTCAGACACCCTGTTGTCTGTATCATTAAGAACTAGTAGCGGGTTGGATGTGATTGTCGACGAGTAGTCAACAAAGCTCAAGGCATTTACCAACCCAGCCCCTTGCTGATTCAAAGGAGCAGCCAACTTCTCTTCAGACTTGCCAACCTCGTTGTACAACGACAATGTCGACGCAGTGGCAACAAGCTTGTTCCTGATTTCCTCTGGAGTGGCATATGGAAACACACTCTTGTAGAGTGCAATCACACCAGCAATATATGGAGCAGATAGAGACGTACCATTCATGGACCTGGTTTGGTTCAACCCCTGCCCAAATATGTCTGCACCAGGAGCTGAGATAACTGGATAAAAATCATTTGTGAACGTTGGACCCCACGACGAAAACGCACTTATTTTCCCAGCACCTAGCGACTCAAGAGGATAGGGACTCATCTCGTCGGCAGCTGAGATCTCCAAGGTAACAAAATTGCCCAATAATAACTCCTTTTCTACCCACGAAGACACCACTTTCTTGACTGTGGCAAGATTCAATGTATCTGGTGCGAGTGCAGACACCAAGTTAGATGAGTAGTTGTCTGTGAAATTGTAATTCTCGGCATCTGCAGTGTACATCAATATATTTCTGTATTTAAAGTCACCAGCACTTTCTAAACTGTGCTGCGAGCAGTTGTTATCGTTTGCCTTTGCTAAAAGAATGCTGTTTGATTGGTAGTTTCTCTTTTGAAACAGATTTCTCTTGACACCATCGCTGCCTGATGCTAGCTGGCAGATGTCGTGTTCCGAAATATGAACAGGAAACGACCCTGTAAAATTCCATTGAGTATCGTTGCCAGTGAAGTATGTGATGTCCAAAGTGCTTCCCGAGCTTGAAACCAATTTTGCAGGCCAGCTTATGCCCTGGAGACTAGACACTGATCCAACTGATATGATATCTTTATTTGATGCAAAAGCTGTTGGATAGAAGAGCCCTAGCTCACCGCCATTTCCGCCAGATAGAATAATGGGGATTTTCTGCGCAATGTTGGATGCTAATACCGAAATTGGGTTGCTTGACGAATCATCGTATGAGCCTAAAGATAATGAGATTATATCGGGCTCGTCAATGGCTGCATCTGTCAAGGCTCTCATGATTGTGTCTGTGTCAGCAGTGTTGTTGCAATCGGATACTTTGTAGACTCTTAGTTTTGCATTGGGAGCTACACCGACAAAGTCTTTTGTTTGGCCAGCAATGACACTGGATATAAATGTTCCATGGCCTTCACAATCGATTGGGTCATTTGGATCAAGAGCGCCTTCAACGTAGTTACGACCAAATTCCACTTTGAAGCCTGGGCCGATCCCACCACCAAGAGAAGGCAAGTTGTAGTTGATACCAGTGTCGATGATGGCGATGGTGATATTCTGACCAGTGATGCCACGTTGGTGAAGTACATCTACACCAGTTAGCTTGTGGGGATTGTAGTTTTTGAGATATGATGAATAGTCGCCTTCGTTATCGTCGTAGTATGAGTTATAATCATCATCATCATCATCATCATCATCATCATCATCATCATCATCATCATCATCATCCAATAAACATGTATTAAAAGTCGCAAAGGAATGGGTTCCAATATTCCAAAAGCTTTTAATCAATTTTGAGTTTTTTAAAAGCCCATAAGCCTTTTGTTGGCTACTTTGATCAATTTTAAGTGATGCACCTTTCCAAAAAGAGGAAGATAAATCGTTATATTGAGAAAGAGAAACCCCTGCATTTGACAAGTATTCGGTAAGCTCATTAAGTAAATCATCTCTTTTGGAAAATGTTTTTTGAGAGGAAGATGACCAATTCAAAATAAGTCTTCCGGCTTGGACTGATGATTTGAATGATTTAGCATTTTTGACAGAGATAGAATCTGATTGATAATATGATGATCTGCTTGCTGATCTGCTTGGTGACCTTGCTGCTTCAGAAAGCCATGAATATATGAAAAAGAAGGTGAAAGAAAAGTGGAAGAAGTTGCATTTAATAACCATGCTCTAATTAGAATTAGACTTTTAGTTTTTTGACACAATAGGTTCTTGTCTTAAAACTTCTAGCAAAAAGAATATTTAAAAGCACTACTATTGAGATGATATTAGAATACTATTTAGAAATAGAGAAACTTCAAAAAGGATGGTGACTTGAAAAAGGAAATTCATTTTAATAATATTTATATAAGGATTGAGTGAAAAAAAGGGCTTTTGAGATCCAAGGCTATCTCATTATTTTTGGTCTTAGCCCATATTGTTCAAGTCTGCAACAATAATTTGCTGTTTTCAGATTTTCAGAATATTAGTAAGGAACAAGAATTTTTCCATAAAAAGTGTAATTTGTTAGACAGGTAAGTAGTTTGAAGTTTAAAATGTAAGGGATTAGCACCAAATGACTTTTGTTAGAAAACAAGAGAGTTCCATAATTATTTCACGTGGTGTCTATTCTAATGCAGGGAATTATATCTGTTTTATTGCTTTCTTTTCAAATTCGTTAAACGACGCTGAGATGTTGGCTAAACACCACGTGCGTAGTCATGTGTGATCGTGTGCAATTGTGTATTGGTGTGAATGGGGATAAGAAAACTTGAGTTATCCAGTATCTGTTGCTGGCAAGAATTTATATAACTTAAAAGAGCAGCAGAAAAGAATTATTGATTGTTCAAACTGATCAGTTTTTTCTGATTATGGTTTATGGTACTCTGTGTGGATTTAATAGTCATTTGGTGAAATTAACAGTTACTATTCAAATTAAAAGTTTTGAATTTGGGGTGAAGAGTCCATAGAAATAATTAGATTTTATTTGCTGAGAAAGCATCACAATAAACACAACCACAATATCACTACAAATATTGTAATGCATCTAGTCACTCAGCCATAAAACGGGCTAAAACTGTTAGCTATGTTTATAAATAGTAACATTGACGAACAATTGAGTCTAGGCTTGAATTTGGCGTTCCAATGTAAGACTATTTCGTATTTTAGAAGGGAAACCAGTGATGACATACGGATGTGTTAATTAAACGGAATCTCAGCCACGTAGACGAAAGGTACAGTCACGATGACCTCGGACGAAACAAACTATCGCCGAACACATTTTCTCCACATCAAATCGTTATGGCTGTGGTTTTGAGATCTAGTCAATTGAACTTTAGTTTGTCATTTTTTTTGGTTTTTGAGGAGAAATTTACAAATCAGGGAAATAATAGTATATTAAAAGTCAGAACAGAAGAAATTATAATAGAAAAAACCAAAAAAAATACAGCTATAAACAGCATTCAAACATCTAGCAAATTATACAGCAATCATTGTCATTAGCTAAATCAGTCAAACTGCTATTTTTAGGAGCCTTGCCCTTTTTTTTATTATATTTTAATAGGTTTAATGCTGCTGATTCGAAAACAAGATCAATGTTTTCTCCTGTTTTTGATGAGCATTCGATATAATCAATTGCATTTATTTCCTTGGATAGCGACATACCATCGTTTTTGTTGACTATGTTGTCCAAATCAATTGATAGATCATATCTTAAATCCTTTTGTAAACCAACCAAAATGATTCGCTTTTTGTCTTTATTGTTTTCTCTATTTTGATAGATCTTTTGGATCCAATAACTTTTGATATTGTCAAAACTTGTTTTTTTTGCTCCAATTGAAAAACATAGCAAAATGATGTTGCATTTGTTGATCAATAAATTTAAGATATAATCAAATTTTGAATCATTGATTGAATCGAATATTTTCAAATCCAACTCTACTGTTTTTTTGGCCTTTGTGAATTTAATGTTTTTGGAACAATTTTCTATCAATTTGGGTATTTCAGCTTTATCCAAACGGTTTTCAGTGTTGTTAAGATAGTTGTAGATCAAGCTACTTTTCCCAATGGAGGAGTCTCCAACAAATAAGATCTCGTTACTATTCATTTTAGATATATACTGTAATAAAGGATCTAGATAAGGGTAAACAGGAGCAGCAATACCACCAAGAGAAATAAGAAGAATAATAATTGATAATCTGATTATGATTGATATATAATCATGTTTGATTAAAAATGGAATGGCGAAGAATTTGGGTAAACAACATTTTGCAAACTCTTAACGAATGGAATAAAATTTCTGGAATGAAATCATGAAATTTTTATATTCATCTGCTACAAATTCTAGAAAATGGTTGGGAAAATGCCTGTGTATGCATGAGGCAGCGGTGTTCGCCAAAATCAATCCAAATTGATATTTACCCAATTGAAGATGAGAATAGGTGGTTAATAACTACTTTGAGCAACTTGTGTAGGTATGTGTTGGAAACATGCCGCTTCCAGCAGCTACCACATGGGACCGCTGCTGGGTTTTTGCAGGATAGTAAAACGTTGGCCAGATATAAATTCATCTGTTTTTTGTTTCTTTACTGCTTCTTCTTCATCTTCTTCTTTTATTTCTTTCTCTTGTTTTTCTTGACTCTTTTGATTCGATTCTTTTTTTTTGTAACGCTCCGATACTATGGGCTTGATAAAATTACCGTGCATACTTCCTATCACCATGTTTATCCAATGAGACTAATTTTGAACAATATAAAATAAAAACAAAAAAATTAACAATAGAATTGATTTTAACATAAAAGATTCATTAATAGTTTTTAATTGTAACAGAGCCACTGTTAACAATAATTCTTTCCATAAAATTTTTGGAGATAACATTTATTCAATTTGAAGGAAAAATACCTCAAACGTTTTGCACACTCAATGCACCCTATGACAGCGTTGGTTGGATTATATCAGCAAAAATATCTGTCTTTAACTACATCAAAACACGATTAAATTATACTTTAAATCATTTGAATTTCAAAAAAGCCAGACTATTCAGGCTAATAATAATAATATAACAAATGAAATTAAATAAAACAAGTGAGAAATTGAGCCAAATCTTTGATCCCCAATTCTATTAAACATAGCCCGAAAATTATAATCAATAGCAACAATTTTTGTTGATAATAATATTAGCGAAAACATTATTTTTTGTCAGCTGTTGATGATTGGTATTTCTGGCTTGGTTCAGGTTAAAAATGATAAAAAATTGTTTTTATTGAAATTGTTTTCAAAAAACGAATTTAATTTAGACATTGTCTAAATTATGGTGTCACAATGTCTTTGATTTTCAATTACTAATCAAATCACTCTATCATAACTCTGAAAATCGTTCATAGTCCCCACAAAATCCAGAGTTGGTGTGTTATTTGTTTCTTTCTTATTTTCAAAAATATCGAATTTACATTCATTGCTTTCATTAGCTATGTGGAATTCAAATTTCAATCCATAATTAGTATTGCTAGTCGAATCAGCTATTATTCGCTGTATAAATGCAGGTATAGCAATCAGATTCTAGTTAAGGTATTCCACACTCAAAAATTTTGAATTATTGTTGGAAAGCAGTCGGATCTCTCGATTGGGTCACTCACGGCGTGCCGGCATCCGTTGCCGGTCTCCCTTGTTACCCTTTGGAAACTAACCCAGTTCTTGAAGGTCTACCCTTTCTAAGTGTGCTGTTTTGCGCACGGACCTTCGTGGGTCGTAACCGTAGGGCTTCCTGTATTCCAATTCTCAGGGGCTTACACTCTAAGACCGAACTTTAGGACTTTTTATGTAAACTCGAAAAAAACTAGAAATATGTATTGGAAGACTTGATCCCTTTCTTTCGAAATTGATCAAATTGCAACGCCTTTTATATAATTCTATATCGGTCTAAAGTAATTCCTAATGATAAAAATAAAATATTATAATTGTAGTTATTTTGCTTTCTCTGCTGTTATTGCAGCCAATTTTGTGATGTATCGTTTGTCTGGCTGCACGAATTGGCTTTGGAGTCATGTAGGACTATATTGTAGCCCTAGAGAAGAGTGGTGTAAACAGTACACTAAGGTGGGTAACGTGACGTCTGGAAAGCTCGTTTCCCCTTGGAAATAAGCCATACTTGCTACTCTGTAGTCTTACAGTCTGTTCCTTTCGTTACACCTAATTATCCTATTACGCACTACTTTCTAATCCCTTGGAAATAAGGATACGTACAAACAAGTAATCTATATATGCTAGCTAAATTTTAATCACGTGTACCAAATCTCAACACCAAACGACTGAAAATCGTCCCAAACAACCGGATATCGCCATGCAGTTTTCGACTGTTGCAACACAGCTGGATGTCTACATTCGGCGCTCTCCGGCTCTCGATAACAGATACCGAGGGACCGACATGAGTCGGATGTATACATCCGAGAGGCTCACAACAAATATTTGACGGGTTTTTAATAATGAGTAACAAAAAACGCTACTTTCTGTCCTATTTGATTCTTATACATATACATTGAATTTACTAGTAAGGAGTGTAATCTGGTTTTTAATATTTATCTCCCTACCATTCACTAATAGGAAATTCAGTTGCCATCATTGTTTTTGTTTAAAATTTTTAATTCCTTTTTTCTAGCAAGGTGNTATAATCCTCTATACCTTTGTTATCACTAAAATTTTTGCTATTAGGATTGTCACTAATATTTGAGAGATTATTATTAGCATAAGTGTTATTTGCAGAATAATTATTATTTAGAAGTGATTATGATTAGAAAGATAGTTGATGTTAGGAGAAAAGTTGTGATTTGTAAGGGATTTCAACAAACATGTCTCATCATATATCTGAACTAACAAAAAGATAAATTGGCAAATGAAATTTTACACCTCCACAAATGATGAAGTCTCTGAACGTCTAGTGTTACAGGATCTTAAAGATAAACTGACCATAATGATTTTTAATTTTTTTTACTAGTTTGATGTGTTATTGGCTTGAGAGACGTCAGAATTTCACCTCGATGCTCTCTTTTTATTCTTCTTTTAGTTATGTTTCTTCCAGTTTGTCTTTACGTTTTTCAAGCTTTCTCATTTCCAATACAATCAATTGCAAGAACCTCAGATGGAAAAGG